AAATGGGTGCAACAGATGGGTGGGTGGGAGAAAGGAAAGCCCCTCACAGGCATTTCTCAGTAGGGAAACCGAGGCACAGAGAGTGAGTGACTTCGTAAAGATAACGCAGAGAATTGACAGTAGACCCGAGTGGTGAACTGGGTCTCCTGAGAGGCCCAACGTAGTACTTTTATTATAAGCTCAACTCAAAATTTTGTTCAAATTTTCCCTTATTTATCCCCCTCAAAATCCAACCAGATTTGTAGACAGCTTCAAAAGCAAAGCAAGTGTCAGAGAAAATTGTGTCCAAGTTCCCAGATTCTTTTTCTAATTTTGAAATTCAATTCTTTTTGCCAAAATCTACCTTGTAGCTATGTTGCTCACCCCTTCCCCCCATCCCCACCCCCCAACCCTGACACTTCCATGTTTTGCTTCTAACAACCACCCGTTAACGCACCTCCCTCTACACAAGTGAAGCTTTTAAATAAGGCAGCAAACAGAGCTAGCTTGAAAGTCTCTACAGGAATGAGATCTCAGTGGAGAATGGATTCAAGCCTCGCTCGGGTTCTTGGGAAAATTCATCGTTCGATGTTCTGGCCAAATGTCAGATGTACCATCAGACAAAATAAGATGCCCACAGCTTTGGATGGGCTGTTCGCCTGCGGTTATATGCAGGGGGTTGGATTAAAAAGGGGTGTCCTCCTAACAGACAGGATCTAAAAAACCCCATGAGGAATAAGGGTTGTAAACCCGTTGTGGCAGAGTGGGCCTTCTCCCCTGGTCCGCGTGAGAGAACCAAGACTTCCCTCAAAACAAAATGCCAACTCTTTGCTTTCACTTGTTTCTTGACCACAGAAAAATAACAAAGCTATTCCTCTGTTACAAGGAGCTCATCAAATCCATAACAGGGCGACACATTTTTCAACACCTTGGATTCCTATTGAAAAATCTCTGGGCTTATCTTGTGAATCACGTGGCAGTGTTTGCACACCCAACAGTGCTAATATCATATGGCACTCTTAAAAGGGTCTTGTAACACCTTGGTGGAGAATAGCCTCTGGCTATTTAAACTGGAATTGCATTCGAGCCCTGTGAGTACTGCTAGCAAGGGGGTCAAACACTGCACTGAATCCAGTGGGGCTGGCGGTCAGGGCACAGAGACCAGCATTGTTTTTGGAATCCAAATAAGCTTCATTTGCTGTTTGGCCATCCTTTCCCACTATTACTGCAGCTCCCTAGCAAAACCAACACACGCACACCCTACAATATTTTCTGTGAGCACAGCCCCACCCAGGACTTGCCTTGAGGACTGAAAATACCATTCATATCTCTCTCCCTGCACCTGTTTGCATTTAGCTGCAAGCAAGGAGATGACACAGCATTGTGGGAGGGGGCGCATCTTTATCCTCCAAATGCCAGCATCTGCACTACACATCCCAAAAAACAACCTCCGGGCAGCTGTTGCTATATATTTCCCCCCACCACCCTGGCTTCTGTAATAGCTCCAGGTCTTTAAATTTCACAAGCCGGATTTTATAGGTGCTCAATATTGTGTCTGAGAACCAGTTTGGAGATTGGAAATGGGCTCCGAGAGTTATGACAGTGTCAGTTGACAAACAGGCCGCGGATGGCTGAGGTTTGCAAAGATGAATAGGCTCAGGCAACTTCTTAATAACTTCTATGCAAATGCAGCCTCATCTCTATTAAATCACCCCCAAGGCCTGCTGCGGATAGAATACGGCCCTAAATGCACGAGCGGGAAGGGAGCAGCGCCTTGCTGCCAAAGAAGAGGGGAAGAGGGTGAGGTGGGGCTCTGGGAAGGGAGAGAGGGATTGGATAATAGGAGTTAAGCTGTGGAAGAGCAGGGGAGACTAGATGGGGCATACGAGCACAATCAAGGCTGGCTGCCTGATAGGTAGAGATTTGTAACAGGGCCCGCTGTCAGGCTCGGGGCTCCTGGGCTCTGCAGTGTCTTCTTTCCCTTTGCGGGAGGCAGGACTGGGCTTGTTGGGAGCAGGGAAGGGAAAGCACAGCGTGAAACACTTTCTCCCTCAGGGGACCCTGAGTTCAGATGCCAGCACCATGATGGTACTGATGCATTCCCCTGCCTCAGTAAGGCACAGGGCTGTACAGACACCACCAGAAAGCAGGGCCGTCCCCAGAGGAGCTTAGGACCAGGCAGTGCTGTCTGGTCGGCCGGGCTCTGATCTAGGCCTCAGGCAACATCTGGATCCTACCCCTGATTCTGCCACGGGCCTGTCGTGCAGTCTTAGACAAATCACTTCCTTTCGCCACCTCCCCTCCCTCCTACCCTTTGCTCACTCTTTTGATTGATCATATTGGTACAGCACCTAGCACAGTGCTAATCTAGCCTCATGCGGGGCTGCCAGCAGTGGCAGTAATACAAACAAACCAGGAAAGGCAAACAATAAATCCACCAGGAGATATATTCATCTGCCCCTATTCCTCCCCCATTGCCTCTTCCCCACATGCCAGCATTCGGGGATCCCTCCTGAAGCCATGCGCTTTACCCCCACCTACTCCAGCTCCTGCTTTTTGCCTCCCAAGGAACCACAGGGCTCTCTGCAACCAGTGGAGGATTTGTGTCTTTGCAGTGATGAATGCAGATCTTGAGGTCCTAATGGAGATGGGAAGGAGATCAATCCAAGGGCTGGTGGACCATCGTTTACACACCCTGCAGCTGCCCCCCACCCCTTGCATTCAGCCGTGCAGAACTTAATTTGTGCATCCTATTAAGCCAACCTCCTTGGACAGCGGGTGAGGCCTCGGCTTGCTTATAGCTGCCTTTGTCTTTGCAGTCCAAGCCAAGCAGAGCCAGCGGGACCCAGGCTGAAGTGCAGCTGGCTGCGATCAATGAATCAATAGATACATCACCAAACAAATAAACAAAGGAGGAGAGCAAGAAAAGGAGCTGGAACGGAGAAGCCAAGGGGGAAGTACACATCTGAATGGCTTTGCTGGTCTCAGCTGGGCCCTTAGGGGGCAAAGGGCTGGGAGGAGATGGCCCAGTATTTGGGATGTTTGCATGCTGTGCTTATATGCCTGACACACTTGCTAAGCGCTCCATTTACCTGGATTGGGAGGGTAGTTCCTAGCCAAAGATGCTTTGAATTGGGCCTCTTCCAACAGCGTTCAGCTTCTGCCAGGCTGAGGATTTGCCCCAATTACAGCCACCATCGCAGAGGCATCGAGCTGCCCCTGGGGCGGACGGATAAAGCAGCTGTTTGCTCATCTTGGTTTCAAGAAGGAGAAAGCGCTAGTGGGACATGGGATAGCTCTGGCTGTATGTGCTAAAGGTTGCATGGTGCAGCTATGCTGTGAGTGGGGGTAAACTCCTGGCCTGGGCAGGCCTCTGATTTTATTTTGTTTCTTTTAATTGGCAGGATAATGACATATTTACCAGTGACAGTGACCTTTGGGTGGGGAATCAATGGAAAGTACCTGCAGTGTGTGAGCCCCCAAAGTAGGGTTCAGATTGTGTCTCTTGTATTGGGTCTCATTCATATCCGCTGTCCTGATGGGTAACCGTGGGCAGCCAGCATCAGAGAGTGTCGCATTGAAATTCTTCTGGAGCATCACTTACCGCTTTACATTTTTCTCCCAGTGCAATATGATTTTTGATAATTGCTGCTACATGTGCCGGGAGCCAGCATGGTGACTTTGTACCTATGCCAAGCACCCTGCCGTTGATTGGGGGATTAATCCTCATTAAAACCCTGCAAAGATCTCAGAGCCTCGATCAAGGAATACATCTCGGATCACAGCACAGTCATTTGTTTTCAGCATTAGTGTCATTGACAGGGTGAAGGAATCGATAGGCCAGTGATGCTAGAAAATCCCCCCAGCCGAGAAGATGCGTGCAGTGGGATGCCTCTGGTGCAACGCACTTATGCTATGTGCAAATGGGGATGATTGGCGATTGGAGAACCATGTACGAGGGAGCGTATTCTCAGGCCCCCTTGTACCACAGAGGCAGTGCGAAGTCCAATGGGCAGCAGATAATTCCTCAATGCAGGGAACATCCCCTGCAATGGTGCCTGTGCTACTTGGCATAGCACGGTCAGGGAGAGAAGGCTTGCATCAGGCATGGCAAGGACACATGGCACCATTCCACCCTCATCTACTGATCCTGTACTACCATATAATATCCTAGGGCTTGAACCCCCAGGGGCTTCTTCATTTGTATCCGCCTAGCCCCTAGAGCAATGGGGATCAATTTTTTTTGGGGGGGGGGGCAGGAGTGCCACAAATTAGCCCTGCACCCCACTCCCAAGTGCTACCCCAATCCCCTTCCCCTGCCCACTCTGCTGCTCCGCTTCCTGCCCTGGGCCCCCAGCCTGCTCTGCTGCCTGTCCTGTCCCATCTACCATGTCACACACACAAGCTACCTGCGACATTTGTGGCATGCAGGTTGGCCACCCCGGCCCTAGATGGAGGGAGCTGTAATCACAAAGGATACAGGAGGAGATGTCGTTGCCAGTGGGCTGCTTCTATTACAGCAGTACCTACAAACCCCAGCCAGAATCAGAGCCCCACTGCACTGGGCACTGTACACATGCACACTGGGCAAGAGACCAGCTGATATACCCCCAGCAGAGGAGGCAAGAGGACAGAGGGGAGCTAGAGGCTGAGACAAGGGAGGAGACTTGCCCTCGGTTACCCAGCAGGTCAGTAGCAGAGCTGGGGGGGGGGTGCAACCCCAGTGTCTGGAGTGATGTTCTGGGGCTGCAGGCCCTAAACCACTGCAACATGGCAGATTGCAGAGGCCTGCCTCGCAAAGACCCACGCCTCTGGGGCAGCACTGGGGGAAATCACACAGCAGAAGGTGGACTCACCGCTGGCTAAAGCAATAGATTTGAGTGTATAATTTAATTGGGACGAGGGAGGGGGAAAGAGCACCAGGCACTGAACTCAACAAAAGCAGGCGAGAGCCAGGAGTAATAAAATATTCCAAACTAGATTAAGAAATTACAAGCAGAGAAAGGCTGAGATTTGGCTTTTTATTTGGTCCTGCTGTAACCGCGCCTGTGAAAACACACGCCTCCCTGCGGTACTTTGTTTTTTTGGCCCAGGCAGCCTGCCATCCTGCTGTGAAAATGAATATGCTTTCGCTGTATGATTAAAGTCAAATGCTCCCGGTCCCCTTGTTTCCAAAAGCTTAGGAGGCCTTTTTCAAGGAACACCTGTTAGCTGGATCTCTTGAACAGCTCATTTCAGGAAGACACCAGGTTCTTCTGTGTGTAACGCATTTCCTTGGGGGGGGGGGAAGACTGAAGGTGGTTTATTGTTCATGGGATGTTTGTATCCCGTCTGAAAAAAAAACAAAACAAAAAAACCCAAAAAAACCCGCTGGTTCTTTTGTTGGCAGCACAAGCAGGCTCTAGGATACTTGTTCCAGAAGAGCTGGCGGAGGAGGGTGGCTTCATGGGAATTCAGCTAGAGGGTGCCGAATGCCTTGCAGCATCTAAGTGCATGTGCTGAGTTGATTGCCGGTTAACAGTCTCAAGCATGGGCTCTGTACAAGTCAGGTTACCTTCACTTGCAGCCACTTCTTGGATGGAATAAAAGCAGTAGTTTAAGGGCAAAGGCTGTGCAATGGTTTGGATTAGTAAAGAACACCATATCTGACTCGACCAGCAAGGAGAATTCAAATACCAGTGGTCAGGATGGAGGATTTAACACCTGACACTTGCGATAAACATTGCCAGGGGGCTTGATAAAGGCATGTTCAGGACTTGGATTTTGGGACTCGCTGAAAGGTAGCACCTAAGATCAATATACAGTGCCTTTAATACCATGCCAATCCTGTTGCTATTCAGAAGGATAATCAACACCAGTCCCTGCACCAGCCTACTCTACTGGAGCTTTCTTATTCAATTATTGACCCATTTCACTGCCCAGTCTGTGGGTCAGAGCCTCTCCACACAGGTGTATGGCTATAAGCAATAAGCAGCTGCATCACATTGGGCACAACTTCAGTGAAGGGGCTTTAGGGACATGCATGGCCCAGGGTTTGCAGCTGCCAGTCTTGGTGTCACACTCCAGCCACTTTCTGAAATAACCCGGGTGAGGGGATAAAAGGCCAGTACAATTCTATTAAAATCTACCAAGAAGGACAACTTTGGGGAGGGTTACACTAGGGAAAGTGCTGCATAGATTGCTTTAAAACCAGCTTTGAAAAATAAACTGCTACTACATTGAGAAGGGCACATTTTAGGGACTCCTCATTGCACTGTTAGACTCATAGAAAATGAGGGTTGGAAGGGACCTCAGGAGGTCACATCTAGTCCAGCCCCCTGCTCAAAGCAGGACCATCCCCAGCTAGATCATTCTGGCCAGGGACTAGGTCATTTCTTGCACTTACAGGAAAATCCGATGTACACAGAGGCATTCAAAAGGGTAGCTTTGGCATCCACCTCTGGGATTTCACACCCACCTTTAAACTGCAGGTGAAGACCCAAGTCCTGGTGTCACCCAGCCAAAGGCAAAAACCAGTGGGTGGAAGGGAGAGGTTTGGAGACCCTCCTGCTGGCTTGTGTTGCAAGTACTTGTTTTACAGTGATTGTGCGTGCTGGTTACGGCACAACCTCTTTTGGCCTCCGAGTCATTTTGGTCACTTGAGTGCACCTGCCATGATGCTCATCACCCCACAGGTCCTCCGCTTGTCCTTCCCCTTCATGCTTCTACTTCATTTCCACTACAAGTCTCCTGCTTCCTCCGCTTTCTTCCTTTGCTATTAGCTAAAGGAAAACCCATGGTGCATCATGCAAACCACAGAACATCAAGGATCCACTTTGCCTCAAAGCAACCCTAGCACACAAGGAAACTCTGGTGCCCCTTGATAAGATGTGTTAATAATTGTGCCTGGTCAGAGCAGCAATAACAAGGCTAATTAGGGCCCAATTCTCCCCTGCCTGGCATTGTCTCAGAGGGTCATTTTACATCTCTGCAAAGCAGCTGGGAAACATTACCAATCCTGATGGGTGCAACTGATGAGTGGAAGGAATCCCGCCATGTGGGTCCTTAATTCCAGTCAGTATTTGCTCAAATTAGCTGTTTCATATGGATGCAAATGCACACGGCAGTGCGCAATTTGATGGCAGCCAGTGCCTGTACACACACACATGCACAATCTGCAAGGACATCTCTCTGAACACAAGGGCACACAAGTGTGCGTACACCAAACGCGATGGCACATATGAACAGGTGCACTGATCATGGGCAAGCGTGTGCATGCAAAATGATGCGACACGCAGCCCACTGGTGCATATCCGACTGACTTCACACACATCCTTGCTTTGTATTCAGCCTTTAAGCATCTCTGATGCCAACGGGGTAGAGTCAAAAGGAACAGAGTGAGCAATGGTAACAGAAGACAAAGTGAGCCGCGAGCTGCAGAACTGACAGGGTAATAACCGAAATAATAGAACGTGGAAGGCACCCTTGACAAAATAATCTCGCAGCGCACTACATCTCCCGGAAACGCCCGACAGCCTCACTCACCGCAACGTACTGTCACTTGACAGAGAAAATGAGCTACAACAAGGCTAAGTTAAAGGAGCATGCTCTGCAATGTGCCTGGGAGCCTGGAAAAAGTTTGGTACCAGAACAAACAACAGCCCTACCACCCGAGTCAACAGGTGTCCCCTCCTGGCATCAGGAAAGGTGACAAATAGGCTGCATCCCAAAATTGACCATCAGCCCTCCATCCTGCTAGTTTGCAGGCTATACCTCTCCCCACACCCTGCCTGTAGCTTGCCCATGCACCAGCCCCCAACTAGTTTGATGCCCTCTGTGCCACCGATGGCAGGAAGTCAGCTCAGAACAAGCTGGCTAAAACATGAGGGACCTAGCAGAGGGGCAACAGGATCTGGATCTAAGTGAGCTTCCTCTGGCTTGTTGCAAGCCTCTGGGCCAGCAGCTGTGGTGCAGGTAGAGTGGCAAGACCCTCTAATTCAGTTAACTGTGGGCCAATGAAGCCTGGGGCTAGGCTCATGTACAAGCCAGAGGCAGGGGATTCAAACTGCTCCCCAGAGAGAGAAAAGAAAGGCTGATGAAATCTTTAGGGCTTGTCAGAAGCAGCCAAGGCTTGTCAGCCGGGTTAGGAAAACACGGGTAAATTTGCAGGTATCCTGACAAACAAGGCACTGCAGTAAGTCAATCCGGGAGCATCCCAGAGGCACCGCTCAGCTGCTCGGCATTAGACAGCGCATGACCTTTGCAATGCCTTGTTGCCAGCCAGAACATGAGAGCTCATTATCTCATCTCTAATATGAATCCCTGGTGAAAGATGGGGCTCCGGGGGAGAGGGGGCAGAGCTGTGGTTTCTTCTTGGGTTTTAATTTCCAGACACAAGCAGATGCCTGATGGGCCACAGGCCAGGATGCAGTGGGACAGGCAGGGCCACCAGACACAGACTCATGGTGCAGCCTACAGGCTTCAGGATCTCACATGTCCTGCACAAGCAGAGGACAGGGAGCCCTCCAGACTGGTCTTGCTAGGGGCTCAGCTTTGCCTCCAAACTCAACCCCCACTGACTTCAATGAGAATGAGAGTACTGCCGGCCCACTCCTCTGCGCTGGCCCTGAGCTTCTGATGAAAGGGGATGTAGGCACAGCAGATGGATTTAATTCCTCTATTCGCTTCAGGTCAGATCCTGACAGCATAATAACAGGAGTGGATTTTCTAGGAGGCCGTGTGTCCCTCTAGGGCCAGACCTTTGGAAAGGAGTAACCCCTTATCAGCTCCCACCATGATGCTGGCAGGCACTGCTTGTGTACAGGGCTCTCCTGAAAAATCATGCCCACGTATGTAGCAGCCTGGGTAGGAACTGAGCTCCTCAGTATACTCAAACCCAGCAGGGTGCAGCCCTTTGAAAAATCCCATCCAGCATTCAACTGATGGTGCAGGAGAGTTTAAGTGCTACAGACTCTGAACTGTCCCCTCTCAGCCTCTCCACCCACACCTCACCCCCAATGAGCCCAGAGAAAACCTGCGGGAGGGATGTTTCACGTGGGATGTCTGCAAGAACACATGATTTGCTCAGCACCAAGGAAATAGAAAACACAAAGTACTCACCAGCTTAGAAAGGAGGAAGGGATGGCCAGGTACAAAATAGCTCTAATAGGAGCTGGAGCCGCTTCGCTCTATGCAGTTTAAAGGAGAAGGCACTCTGGGAAACTGTCTTCTGCAATAGGGCAAGTGGGGAGTGTTACTGAGGAATAGGGTGTTGTTAACAAAACCCAACCCTGGTGCTGTGTCCTAATGCATGGCACCTGCTTTATTATTTGCACAGGTTAACACCTAGGGATCTCTGTCATGGATCAGCACTGTTGGGCTTGGTGCTGTTCAAACAGAAGAAAAAGAAAGCTGCTACCGCAGGGAGCTTGTAGCATAAGAGTCTCACTTCCTTATGCTGCACCTAATGGGGCCATTTGATCCAGGAGTTTGAGCCCCACTCTGGTTTCATGCCACAGCCTGCTCCCAGTTGGCAGTGGGGACCTGGTCATTCAGTAGGAGAGTCAGAGGCAGGTGGATGTGATGCCAGGCACCTTGTTTCCTTGTGTGCTCCTGGCTCTAGAAACCAGCATGCCCTAAGTAGATCAGCCTGATGGGCTATTCAGCTCAGGTGGATCTTTAGCTTGATTTAGTGCTTCTTAAAATGAGAGATCAATAGGAGTGGCCTCAGGCTGGCCCAATGCAAAGGCTCCTTCCTACAGCTCTGCTGGGCTGCCTTAACCGTGCCTTCCCCTTGGGCTTCCTGAGCGCCTGCACAGCCCTGCCAATTCACCTCCATCCTGAGCTGTGCCCCCCCCTGCTATTCCAGTCCCTGGCTCCCTGCACACAGCTCTACTGAGAGATCTCAGTCCTGAGCTAAACAATCTCCCTCTGATCATGCCTGGGGCTTCTCAAACAGCTCCCCACAAACCCTACTGTGGTCTGCATGACATGTACAAAGCAGGACTAGGGTAAAACCACCTGAGCATCTCCTTTACCTCAGTCCTAGCCCAGCTCTTTGGAGCCTGGTGCTAAGTCACTGCTCTCAGGAATCAATGGCAAAGCTCCCACTGAGGCCCATTGTGTAGGGTCAGGTTCAAATCTCTGTGCCACTTACATTTGGAGCCAGGAGGTCAGTGTCCCATGGTACTAGGGCGTTGAGACACCTAGCATGAGATATACCCAGCCCCGAAGAGTTTACTCTCTGAATTAAAAAAAAAAAAATTAACGAAAAATGTTTGTCTCCCAGGTCAAATTAGCCAGATCAGGTCCAAATCCATTTGAATCATTCAAGAACCATATGTGGCCCTGCTACCAGCAAGCATCCTCCACCCCAGCCTGGGGCTTCAGATGCTTCTAAATCCTTTGGCAGGCATCCTATGTGCAAGCCCAAGCCTGAAGGCTTGTGGTTTAGATGCCCCCTAGTTTCACTTGCCCTTGGCCATATGGACACAGGAGCAAGCTAGGGAGGAGTCTCCCATCTCTATAAAGTCAGCATGTAGCTGAGATCCTCCCACTGGAAGCTGTTGGGTGGGAAGCTAACTATGAGGCTCTCTTAGGGAGTCCTGTCCACAAGCAGGGAAGGGTGCACCCTCCACTGCACAAAGCCATTTGTAAGGCACCTACTTGGTCAGGGTACTACCCCCTGCCACCTTCGTGGTCATGGTATTTCCCCTGCCAGATGAGCCAGACAAAGGAGGATTCTGACTGCATTTTACAGCTGGGAAAACTGAGGCACCACAGACACTCATGCAAGGTCATGCAGGAGAGCTAAGAACTGCATCAAGATTTCCGACACCCCGATCCGGTGCTGAGCATGAGCAAGACTGTCCTCCCCACTCCCCAAACACCTGCCCCCTTCTCCCTGACAGACAAAAAGAGCATGAGCCTGCAGTGTTGAACGTGGGGACTTTGTGCTGGAGAAGAACAGCGAGGGCTGGAGATGATCCTGAGGCCGCTGCTCCTTTGTGTGGCTGACCTGACCCCTGCTCCAATGAACAAGCCTGCACCTTGCACCGTGGCTACTTGGATGTGCACTATAAATAACCGGCAGAGGCTGGCAGCCTCCAGCTCCGGCAGGCCAATAAACGTGCATAAGCCATTCTGTGTTGCTCACTGCTTGGAAATAATGAGAGGGAAGGAAGACGGACGAGCAGGGGAATTGGAGCAGATGTGCTGCGAAGGCGGCACCCTCAGTGGAATATAAAATACCTGGAGGTGAAGTGGTCCAAGGCAGGGGGGGCCCTGGATGCACAGGCTTTAAAGAAGCCTTTGGAGGAGCTGCACATGCGACAGAAATGGCTCCTTTTGTAGGAAGTTTCTCCTCCCTAAGATCTGGGCAGAAGCCACCTCCCTGCTGTCAGCAGAGCTCCCCTGGCCTGTCAGCAGATAATTAAGCCTTTTATTCTGTGCCTGGAGGCATCAAGGATGCCCATCAAGATGGAAACCCTGGCAGGCTGACTTTGTGGAGAAGGAGCAGGGAGGTGGCTATTCGAAATAAAGTTTGGGGTTTTGCTCTCCTTTAATTCCTCCTCCTGAACAACCAGCCTGTGTTTATATTGGACGTTGGCTGAGCAAGGCGCAGTTCCCAGTCGCTCAGCCAAAGCTGGGCTTTTCTGAAGGCAGTGGCCCTGCCAGGGAGAACCGATTCCCTCCCCCTGCTCAGCTGCACAAGAGGCTGGGGGGGTGGGTAGTGTGGGCCCTGCTCCACCATGGGCATTATATGAGATACTGAATCCAAGCCCCTGCCCTTTCCCTTGGGGGTGGGTGGACTGGGGTGCCCAGCTACTGTGATAACACAGCTGGTACAACCATCTAAATTCCCCAGTGGGTTCCAGTTTGGGTCTCAGCCACAGGTGCATGGCATGTAGGCTGAGATTTGGGGAGCTGACTGGAAAGACCTCCAAAGGGGCTGACGTTTCAGCGAGGGCTGAGCACCTAGCCTTAAGAAGGTGTCTCATTTCAGGTGCCCACAATCTGTCATATGTGAAAATTTAGACTAGTGATGCCAGGCTTGGCTAAAGCCTGCTTGGAGAGTCTGGCCACTCCTTGCCAGCAAGCTCGAACCCAAGTGTACGTGCATGTGCATGCAGGAGTGTGCATAGTTGCACTGGGCCGGACAGAGGCACCACACAGGCAATAGGGCAGCTCCAGACCCCGGGTGGAGGTCCCAGGCCCCAGAGATTCAGCAG